TTTTTTTTTTTAACCAACCAAGCGGGAGCTAGGGGTGCTGGTAAGAGCAGACACCGCTAGCACCGCCGGGGAGGCTCCATCTATTGGGGGGGAGCGGCACCTGCTGGAAACCGGGTCCAGCGTCCCTTTTTACAGACTGGTTTTGACTGGATTTGAAAACATGATGCTCCTGCCAGCATTGATTGCCCTGGGACCCCAGGGGATTAACTGTGCAGGGGGGGCGGGGAACCTCTTCACCCAGACACAGGCGCCAGACTCTTACAATTGAACACTAGTTCACCCCTATCCATCCCTGACTCCGAAGGCTGACTCTTACAATTGAACACTAGTTCACCCCGATCAATCCCTGACTCCGAAGGCTTTCTTTGGCCCACTCTTACTACCCTTTCTGCCACAGGTCCCCTTACCCTTCCCCGTGTCCCGTGTCTACTCCCCTGTACCTTCCTCAACGCCCGTACCATTGCAAAACCACCATGCTGTTTGTTGGGCGGGGGGGGGGGGGCGTTATCTGTTGTTTCCGTCAGTCTCTCAGGCTTCCCCTTGTCCCATGTCCACATCCTTTGTACCCTCCTTAACACCCGTACCACTGCAAATCCACTATGCTATTGKTTGGGGGGGGSAAGGGGTCTGGGAATTTTTCCGCTGCTTTCATCGGGATTGAGGGGTCTACCGTGGTCCACTCTTGAAAGCTCAGTTGATAGTCTTTATACAGCCTCTCTCCCTCTTGTCTTCTCCCTGAGATCCTTTCCACCCTTCCTAATCTTCCCCCCTCTTTCCCCCCGAGCCAACTGTTACAAAAGTCCTGTAGTTTTTGTTCAATTTCTTGTTGTGTATGTGTGTATGGGATCTGGGCCTTAACCATTTCCCAATGAGTTGTTATCTCTGTCTGAATTTGTTGTTGTATGCTTTCAGTGAATTCGGCCCCTTCCAACCTCACTCCTTCCAWCTCATATGTACACCGGCGTTTCCATRGTGCCCATAGCATCGCCCTGCGTCCCATTTTAAACATATTCTGGGTGAAGACGTCCTCTGGTTCTGCATTCCATGTTTCTAGTAACAGCGCTTGCCAGTTCCATGGCCAGGGCTTCGTTACATCCAGCTGATCCCAGATCCTGTCCCACCAGCGCCAAAGCAGGACCGCTCCTGGGCACTGCAGGAAGATATGTTCTATGGTTTCCGGCCTTTTTCTGGATGGAAAGGAGTGTACACAGAGTTTACACCAAGGCAAAGCCCGCCCACTTTGTTCCAGGGATGTCCTGTCTATTAGCCAGTCGTTTGTTGGCAGACACCGGTGTTCGATCTGCCATTGAAGTGAGGCCAGCTTGGATGGCTTCGTCTTGACGAGATGGAACCATTTTACTCCCCGAAGTGATTCCTTGCTGGTGTTCAATTGCTTCATCCATCTGGCCTCCACCTGGTCGCGTAGATTAGACGCTGGGCGGAGTAGTCTATATGTTGATTTAACAGTCATGCTGTGTAATTTTCTGGTGCATGTCTTTCCCCTCCCGGAGGGAGAGGTCCATTTCCACTCCATCGGGTCAAAGGGTAGCTGGGTGATTGGGGTGTTTGGGAGGAAGGCCATCCATTTATCCCTGTTTTCTAGCACTCTGATACGCAGGACTAAGAGGTGGACCCCACCGGACGGCGGCTGGAAAACCCGCGAGGCCAATAAAAACGGCCCACCGTCGTTGGAACGTGTTTGGCAGATTTTGTTGGCACCCCACCGCGACCGGCCGCACTTGCCCGAATAGGGAAACTTGAAAGGCCAGGTCTGAAATAGGAAAGTTCGGTAGGGGCACTGGTCCATGGCCTTCCGTTGTGGCTGTACCAGGACATGTCCGCGTGTGGGTGTGTGTGATGCAGTGTGACATCTGTCGAACAGGTGCCATGCGGTACACAGGCTGCTTATCGGACTCCCCCGCGGCGTTGCATGTACGGGCAGTGAAACGACCGTTGGGGACATGGGCTGGGGCACCCGTCCTGCCGTTGGCACCGTGCGGTCGTTGGGACGTCTGTGGAGTGGGACGGGAGGTCTCAGTGCAACGACGGGAGGGAGGGAGGGGAGGGGGGGATGNGTTGTGCAGGTCTGACTTTACGAAGACAGCCATGCCAAGAGGAGGGAAGGGGACACGGCCGCCTCAGAGGCCGTTGGGYGCATCAGGAGGATATGAGCGGCATGGGCCTCGCCATCGAGAGAGCGCTCCAGTCTACAATGATGGGGACATCGAGCTATTCCTGGACAGTTTCTGGGAGCATGCGAGGCGTATGGGCTGGACCGTCGCTCAGGCGATTGAGAGATAGAGGGGAGCAGGTAAGTTCGAGGAGCCCATTGCCAGGATTCGTAGGGAGGCGACGATGAGGCAGGAGGTGGAGATGAGGATGGAGGAGTTGCGACCCTCGCCTGTGGGACCTGATGGCAGGCCAATCCGCCTGGAGATTGGAAATGCGTCGGACTTCATCCCCGCGTTTGAATGGTTCATGCAGGGGCAGAGCATACCGAGAGATGATTGGATGCAGACGCTACCACTCTGGACCAGGAAGGCGGAAAGGCCACTGGCTATGCAGATCAGAGACATGGCACGAGATTGGGAGAGCTGCAGGGAACATCTGAGAGAGGCCTTTCGACGGCCAGAGCTCCCTCAGCCCAGAGTCGAGAGGCGACAGAGGAGTCAGAGGTCGAGGGACCCTGAGCCCAGGGAGGCGAGACCATCTCGGGGAGGACGGAATGTCCTAGCCAGGAGAGAGGAGGAGCTGGAGCAGGACCCAGAGGTTGAAGAGCGAGGGACATACCCTGAGTGTGGGTTGGGATCAGTGGAGTTCCATCGTTTTACTGAGAGTGGATTGAGGAGGTCGCCAGCACACCCACGGGAGGAGCCGCCAGTGTCCGAAGGGCCGTTGAGAGAGTTAGAAACGCATCTGGATATCTCTCAGTGGAAAGCGTCGCCTCAGGATGAGAAGCATGAAGAGCACGTAGAGGAAGTGCCACAGGAGGAGATACCTCGAGAGGAGGTGTCACAGGAGGAGGTGCCACAGGAGGGGATACCGCGAGAGGAGGTGTCACAGGAGGAGGTGCCACGGGAAGAGGTCCAGGGTACTCAGCGAGAGAGAGGGCTGGGCGATGAGGGGAGACGTGCAGGAAAGGAAGTGATAGAGGTTGGAGAGGACACGCCCCCACAGACGCCAGCAGTGGGTTTGAAACTCGRAGATGCACCAGGGAGCACCCGGCAGGCAAAGGAAAGGTTGCAGGGAGAGGAGGCCCCACTTCTTTCATCAGAAAGGGCC